TTAATTCTCTATTTTATTATTATTTTATTATTTTAATTGTGATTGTCTATTTTAAAATTTTAATTCCACGTTTATTATTAACTGTATTTATGATAGATTGGGTAATCCGCAATGTTTTGTTTGCTCTTTTTGCTTTTTCTGCAACTCTAAGTTATAATACAAATGACCTTATAATCTAGCCGGAGGAAACTTTACACCAAAAGCGAAACGTCGCTGTTGACTATTGATAAATAAAACACTTCATTTCTTTAAGTTGGTTGAATAGTCCTGTTTATTACATTATTCAACAAATACTGATTATAGATTTTGGTCAAAGTATTTTGTAAAAAAGAAGTTGACAAACATGGTAAGATTCCGAGTCTTTTTAAAACGATTCTTGTTAGATATATTCCTCAGATGGCAGACTAGTTGAATCTACCTCCACAGCTCTTTGTCTCTCTGGATACAGTAAGTAAGAGAGACAGAGATGTCTACTAACACTTTTGACCAGCGTTGTCAGGTATAGCAAAATTTCCCCAGATCTAGAGAATTTAGAGCCAGCTTAGGGAAAAGGAGTTTTTTTATTTAATTTAAGTTTTATGCCAAATGAGTTCTTGCTGTATAAAGATTACTTGTACTTAAAAAATTTCTTTAAATACTTGTGAATATGTAAAGAAGAAGAGGTCTTCCTTTTTTTGCGTCAAATTATTATTTTTAGTTTAAACATTCTTTTTGCACCATAAGAATCTATCTCTGGGGAAATATAAGAAAAATTTGATAGAAAACCAGAGAATAAACAGACTACACTGACTTTTGCCGGTTACCTCCTTTTTGCCATAATCTGAATAAGGAACTTCGTTCCAAGATTTTCTAGGTTATCCACTTTGTAGTCATATGTAAATCGATACAAGAATTGCCATAAATACGAGGTGTAACAATTAAGTTCCGGGAATTTAGTTACCTATAACACCTTCATTTAGTACCAGTACCAATTTGAAGTCAGTAGGTACTTTTGTTCCCTTTTTAACTTCTTCGTACAATATTTATTGACGTGAATGATTCAAATCACAAAACACGTGTCGTGATACTACTTTTAGTAAATACGAGCAAAAAACCGTCTGGAATTTTTCATGAATTGGAAGAAGTGTATAGGGATGCAAGTGTGCCTCAGCCTCCTACGTCACCAGTAAGTACAGGTGGGGGGAGAGCAGCCAACGGACGCAAGGATATTTCGATATTTAGGGTATTATTCACTGCGAGTATGTTCTATTCGGTTAGACAATTTTATTATGTTGGTATGGACACGCATTTTCCACGTAGGGAAACGCTGTAGGTATTCATCATTACGACAATGAGAAGAAAAATTGCCCCCCGTTACCGCATACACCCCAAAAATCCGGATTTAGCCCCGTGCGATCTTTTACTTTCCGAAAAATAAAATCCCATTTCAAGGGTACTCATCATGACGACTAAGAGCAGGTCAAAGTAGCTGTGGTAACGATTCTGGACGTCATAACTTCAAAAGGCTATGAAGGGTGGTTTCAGAGGGGGGAAATGCGGTGGCAGCGGTGTATAGAGTTAGGGAGTGATTACCATGGAGGCCGATAATAAAGTATTGAGCACTTCTGTTTCATTTACAAATTTCTGATGCTTAATTACCACATCTCGTACTTATAATGATGCAAGTAGAGAGATACATACTGTTATTAGAGAAATGATAATAGGAAACAGCGAATGCAGAAGCGGAAATGAGATGGAAGAAGTAGAGGAAAAGGAATGCGAATGCATGTGTATGGTATATAGTCATTGGTGGGGTGCTGAAGGTTGATCAACTCAATGGTCCAGTAGTCGTTGTTACAAATGCGTGCGAAGATGTCATTGAACGTGTTGCAAATACTGTTTGTGCTTTATTTTGTTTATGAACATTTATTACTATAATTTGTTTACTCTATTTTTAAATTAATGTTATCATTTTGCTTTTTTTGTTTTATGAATTATATAGATACTTAACCCATCAGAACAACTGTTAATTTTGCAACCCCCTTCTACATTTCCAGCTATGGTTTTTAATTTTTAAAATAAGATATATATTGATAAATTTTGTTAGTCTTAATTAAAATTAAAACCAAAAATATTGCTTTTCATGCAAATCATCATCATAAACAGGGCGGACTTTTTGGGGTTGTGCGCGCTTATCGACAATTAGTATGATAAATTAGGTAAACCCTCCAAATAGTGTTAGTCCAGGGCTCTCAAATTCACTATCCTCCCATGACCATAAGCAAAAACTTATGTATGGTATGTACAGACAGTGGAGAGAAAAATAAAAGTTCACAGAGCGAATTTGAAGTAAGGAAACCATAATAAAATGTGATTTATTAAAAACAGCAATCTATAAGTAATAAATGGTTATGTACTTACGTTTGTGATATTGTTGCATCAACACCAATTCCACTGGCTTCAGTCCATGGAAGTTGTCCACCCCTGGGCAAGTGTCAGCGACCCCAGGTATGCTTCCAAGTCCTAAAAACGCTTCTCCGGCAAAATCGTTTGCTGTAAGAACGTCATGGTCCATCACTGTGAAGACAATCATTGCCCCTGGATATCGGCATTGTTCCAAAGTAACGCTGAATTCGAAGCACTCGTCGAATATTGGATTCAGAGTTCTCTTGTGGACATTGGTCTGTTGCTCATTGCAATGGGCAAACACCTTGTGTGGTAGAAGCTCCAAAATGACGAATGGATCGCTGAAACCGTTTGGGTCCAATGGTATCACGTCTCTAGCATGAAGGACCTAAAGACATGTGAAATGTAGATTGCATTGGTACCAAATGGTCTTTTTACCTCCACACATAAGGAGTCGTGGTTGAAGTAAGCTCTTACAGCTAGAGTTCCAAACGGACTGGCTGTGGTATTCACTTGGTCTTGAAGTCTTTGACAATAGAACATCTCTATTAATGTTTCGGTATCCGTTCTGTGGTACTGGAGTCTCTGTTCCACGTGTAAATACGTTTCGCAATGTAACATGTCCATTGTCAGCCCTTGTCCATTCGCGTGGAAGAACTCTATCATTAATTCTAAAGCTGAATGTAAACGGTCGTGAAACATCGCTGGCATTTCTTCAGTACTGCCACCACCGTCCATTTGGTCATTCAAATGTTTGAGAGTACACTCCCATATCTGCAACATTATGGATTAAGAAAATGAACCTTCATACGAATATCCATGGGATTTTGAGTCAATGCAAAGGAAGACTTTAATAATTGCAAATATTTACCTCAATAAGTACACGCGTGAAGTTCTGTGGAAGAAGCGCAAGATTGAATTGCAACAGATGATTGTAAAGATAGTCAAAGAGCGGCTCCACGGCTTCGTTGGCGGGAAGAGTGTCCGGAGACCAAGCCAAATGGAACATAAATTTCCTTAGTGCTTCTTGCATCTGAGGACCAACTCGTTTTAATATGTCCAAGATTTTGATTTGTAATTGACTTAATGTACTGTCCAACTGGTTGGTGAGTACAAGGCATTGAGCTTCGGGTGCTACAGTTTCTAACGTGATGAAATCGAAATAGTTTTCTGAAAAGATGGAATTGGGAATGTAACCCAGACCAAGAAATTCAAAAACTAAACGTTAGACACTATACTTCATTTACTTTCTCTAGCGATGTGCCCCTTCCGATGTCTTGGATGCGCGCTGGCAAAATCGTAGGTAGGGAAAAGAAAGCTCATTATACTCTCGACTCTTGTTCATTAAACATACTTTTTCATACAGTATCTGCCAAAAGTTTTGTTCAATCATGAATAGTAGTGCGAGTCGAAAACAAGCGTTAAACCCTTTAATATGTCTTCAGATATAAATAAACATCTCGTTGATATTTTCAGTAGTAAATGGTACCAGCAACAGCACATTTGACCAAAGCAATTATAGTGGATAAAATGGTCATTTTTTCTGTGCAGTACTGTACGGATTATACGCTCCTCACCGGTCAAGAGTTGTCTCCTTCCTTTTCTGGCCTAGTACTGTTCTTTTCTACTTTGCGCCGGTCAAACCGAAGGTCACATCGCTACAGAAAGTAAACGAAGTATACATTCGAATGACTTTAGTGATAGATGTAGAAGTTGATGTAGAAAAATTTGATAACTTTTTAAGAAAGTCATATAAATATTCTCCGCAATGATTTTAATATCCTTTAAATAGGGTATAATGTTGAAATAAGCATTAAGAGGTATCATATATTTTCATTTTAAAGACACAGCTAATATTAATCATCGTAAAAATTAAATTAAAAGGTTGCTTCGAAACAAATGGAAAAGCCTTCATAATAAGGATTTCTAAAAATTGTATATTCGCTCAAGAAGGAAATCATTCTGCAAGTGTTTCACATTAACCTTTTAAAAAAGTATTCGAACGTAGAAATGCACTGTTTCAAAAGTGGATAAAATGCAAATTAAACCTTAAACCGTAAAATCTCTATCCTTTTTCGTTTTGGGGAACTAAACTGCCTGTTGCAGTGTTGTTCTGATAAATCCATGCCTGTAAAAACTCCACGAACTACTACATCAATCTTACTGCAACATGAAACAAACTAAGTGGGGTTGAAGTGCTACTTCAAACGACGAGAACTCCGTTTTAGCAAATTACGAACTCGAGGAGCAAATGGAAGCTCACATTTTTTTTTCTGCGACTACACTGAATTTTCTACAGTACTTAACAGTATTTGTTTCGAAGTATTTCAGTTGACTAATTGAAAAAGTTTTAACGTAATTTAGTAACTGTACCGCAGCCCGAAATTAAGTTTGCTTCTTTGATTATTTTTCTACTCAAATTAAACATTCACAAAAAAATTGGGTCCAGAGCGTGTCTCCTAATAAAATAATACGACTAATGCGTGCCGTGAATTTTTTTTACAGAATTGTATCATTTAATTATGGTACAATTTAACTTTTCAGCTTATTAAAAGATGAAGAAAAACATATTAGCATTTTCAAATTGAAATAAAAAATAAAAGATAGACATTTTGCTATTTCAACAACATTTATAGTCTTTTCTGCAGGAAAACTATCTAAATCAATCCACTCGGTAGCCCTTGAGGTTGCATATTCTTCTCAGATATTACATGGTAGTTGGCTGAATTTTAAAAATAGATCCACCAGGTACCGGACCGAAAAGGAAAGAACAAGTAGAGAAAGAGCGAATATAAAGATAGGAGACGAAAAATTAGAAGAAGTGACTTATTTTAGGTATCTAGGAAGTCAGATACGTCAGGATGGAAGGAGTAGTAGGGATATAAAGCAGAGGTTAGCGCAGGGTCGAGTTGCCTTCAATAAAAAATAGGTCACTTCTATGCTTGCGAGCGGTTAATTCAGAAATTCTAAAAAAGTTAAAGATGTATGCTTGGAGCACGGCGTTGTACGGGTGCGAAACATGGACAGTGGGCGCGGCGGAAAAGAAAAGGTCAGAAGCGTTAGAAATGTGGTGTTGCAGGCAAATGATGAGGATATATAAGGTTAAAAATGAAGAGGTATTAGAAAGAGTAAGAGAACAATGGACTCCATAGAAGTCAATAAAAAGCAGGCGAGATATGTTGGTAGGACACCTTCTCAGGCATGAAGGTCTAATCAGAGACATATTAGAAGCAGAAACGGACGTTAGGAGGGGTAGAGGCACACCTAGACCTACTGTTCGCAAATAGTTAAGGATATGGATTGTTCTAGTTTTAGGGAAATGCGAAGATAAGCTCAAGATAGGAAAAAGTGAAGGCGCGTATCCAACCAGTCTTAGGACTGACGACCTTATGATGATGAGGAACCGGATCCAAATCGGATCCCGTCGTCCATGTCAAGCTTTAAATATAAAATTAAGCACAATTTCCGTTTCCAAGCCAATGATATTTTATTTAAACAAATCGATATCTGGTTTCGTTTAGGAGTTAGAATAAGCTTTCACAAGAAGAACGGACATCATTGCCATATGAAAAGGGTTGCATTCGACCTTTATGGTAAAAACGGCAAAAAATAACTAGGTTGAACTTACCTAATAAAGAAGTAAACTTGAAAACGTATTCTAAGTTGTTAGAGGCGATGCACATGTCGTCAGTGACTCTAAATGGTCCCGTTCGATCGAAATAGCCCGTCTCCATCAAAGACTGATACACCATGTCGGCGTACAACAGGGCGGCGGAGCAAATTACGTCTAGCAGCTGTGACAGTAAAGGCACCGAATGTTGCTTGGGCCATTGTAACAGTCTCCAGAAGTCTCTCAATTGACAAAACATAACGACCACGTCTACAGCCGAAGAATTGTGCTTGACCAATTTTTCACCTTCGCAGGGTTTTTGCAATTCGATTGCAGTCCGCACCTGTAAAGTATTAGGAATAATTGTTGAAGTTGAGCCCCAACTCTTTAGCATCTAGTGGTAAAACGTATAGTTTGAAAGAGGGACAAATTTAGTACATGGCACATGGACGGTAAAGTTGTTTATTAAAATCATAAAAAAGCGTTAAAAGAATGAATAAATTTTTGATAGATAATAGAATCCAAAGTATTCTCATGGGAAATCAAATAAAAAGTTTTGACGCTAATTGTGAGCCCGCTTCTTGTTCTGTTTGGATTCCCTTTTATTTCCCCCAAATTGCTTTTTACAGCAGCGAAAACCTCGTCAAATTTTGTTAAGTCGCCCTTACGTTACAAGTGAAGAACGATGTGTAATAAACTTGTCTTAGCTTACCACCCCTGCTGATAATAATGATAAAACGTAAATTATAACCACCCGGCAGTGCTAACGCCAAAAATGGTATCAAGTTTCATTTAATGGCTCTGGAGTTTAATGACAACAAACAAACAGATAGACAGACGCCTTCAATGAATTATATTCAGAGTATACGTAATACATACTAATTTAGAAGTTCCTTTTCTTAATTATTTTAATAACAACTTTGAAGTTGTTAGATGTAAAAAGAGAAAAATTATCGAAGTTTTACCACAATATATAACAACATGCACAGTAATGAAGTATAACTTCAACTGCATCTACTATCGCTACACCAGCGCCAGCATTACCGTAAGGTGGCCGCTTTTGAAACCAACATCCAGGCGAAATTAAAAGTAACGAAATATTCGTAACAGCTGCGGCATACGCATTATGCACCCCTGTTATAAATTGTCTACTCACCCTTTGTAGTGCTTTACTCTTGCAAAGGCTGATCCAGTGACTAACTGTTGGTTCAAACCATTCGTGACATCGTACTAATGATAATTTGTGATCACCCCCTGATGGTAAATGTTGACTTAAACTGGCTAAATCTTTGACTTCGAGATAAACGGCGAAAATGAGACGATTATAAGCCGAGTCTGGGTGTTCTGTTTGATTAAGAAATGCCATAATTTCGTCCGAAATTAATTTATCTAACTGCTTAAACACTACACTAAAATAAGGTACCCCGTTGGTTCTGTAACAAAGAAAAGGTCAACGGTGACAAAACGAGAACTTGCAACTATATATATAGCTAAAATTCAATTTATATAGTAAGGGATCATATTTTCTAACGAATGAAACTAGTTCAATTTTTTTTTATTTTTTCAAAAAATCAACAAAAATGCTAAAGATAATATTAATTTTTCAATTCCTTAAAATCACCCTTCTTTGCTAAACCATCTTCTAGTTGAAATTTCATTGATATACGAGCATTCGATGCTTTACGTCTGAAATGCTTTTTTTTTCAAAATTCCCGCTAAGAAACTTTTCATAATTTATGTCATGCTATTGTTAAAGGTCGGCCATATTGATTCTTCATTGTTGTGGTATTGTTGCTGTTGTCGGCCATTACACTTTTCTTGATTGTTGCCGTTTTGTTACTACTATTCGCCATCACACTTTTTTCCATTGTTGTCGTATTGTTACCGCAGTCGGCCATTACACTTTTTCAATTTATGATAGATGGGAAACAAATACCAGCGAAATATTAGAATAACGAAAGAGATTTCAGCAATATTTTTAATTATTAATGTGAAGTGGTAGTTTACTTATTGTCGTATGATCAACAATTAAGGCGTCCTTGCCTATTTTGCCCTACTGTTTGTATTTTGTTCCAAACTTTAATCATTAGCGACAACGGCGGTCACAAATCACATTTATGTTTAGGTCGTTAATGACAATAGAATTATTATAACCAGAACATTATTATATTTACGTTAATATAAACAAATAAACAAACAAGTAACAAAACGAAATATATATCTTCTATTTTCCAACAAGGTGAATAATTGCATCTAATAAACTGCAAAATTTAGTGACAGAAATAGATTTCACACTCGAAAGGATCAGAAGTATGTGAGTGGTGACTTACCCTTCAAAAAGTGGGTGGTAGTATGAAAGGTTGTGTTGAAGATTGACGTAAAGTACCGAGCAAAAGTCTGCGAACGATTCATCGTATTCATCCGAAGTTAACGTGGAGTTTTTTAAATTTGTAAACCAATCTGGAGTTCCCTTTCTTAAGGCAGCCACTATTTCACCTCGGATTTCTTTATTGAACGGACAACACTTCCAAAACGATTTCTGAAACAATTAAATCAAACTCACCATATTGATAAAAATAATAATTTACATGCAGCGTGTAGTTTGTCAAGTAAAGTACTTGACAAACGCCTTACTACAGTATTTCAACTTAAACAGGAAGTTGCAATTCGAAGCCAGCCCTGGGAGTAAATCGGCAACGTATTTGAATAAGTGGTACAAAAATTATTTCTGAATCGCGCAAAAACATCCGGTATTTGACGTATTTCATTTGCAGCGGTCATACACGGTCGTGCAAATCACTAGCGTTCTGCACTGGTGTTACATACACGCGCTGTTTCATACAACCCCTTACAAACAAGTCAAACGGATTTACATCACGACAACGTGTCTTACAGGGTACAGAACCCAATCCAGCATCTATAAACTCACTACTGATCAATGCAATTCTGTACTAACCTATGATACTGACACACTGACCTACTTCTAACTATTTCGACTGCATACATACGTAATACAAGCCTACAAAGTTAAAAGAACAAGACGCTACTCTAGACTGGTTGTAACATACTTAAGATCAGATATTTATAAAAATTTTCCAGATGCAGATTGCGATTTTCAATCTTTTTAGATCTCGTCAACGAATCTTAAGGGTATTCAGTAGTACACGCAGCTGTAGAGTAAAAATATGCTCATCGGTTCTAAATATCATGAGTTTAATATTTGGAATAGAGGTTTGAAATTTTGTAGTAGGATAGATAAAGCTTTGTTCTAAAGCTTATCGAAGGTCATTTTTTAATTTTTTAATTTCTATTGAAAATAGGTATCCTACAAGAAGCATCAACTTTAAGCACTTGTAAAAACTTTCAATGACCAAATTATTGGAAACCAAAAACGTACAGAGTCAGTGTGAAATTTTGTCAGTTACTATATAAAAGATCGCATATTTTTCTCGCAGCGTTAAATCACAATATTTAGAATCTATGTTTTCGGAAAAATTAGAGAAAAATTCACACTAGGCACGAGCGGTCTATTGCGGTCAACCACACTGTCTAATTTCACTTCTCTTTTCTAAATGTCGTGTTTCTTGCTCTAATATTAGGTCAGACAAATTAGAAGAAAAAAAAAAGTAAATATTAGCCAGGGTAAGACACCAAAAAGTTCTGAAAAAGGTATATAAATAAAGTATATCTTCGAATTATCCAAAAATAACTTTGACTTTAACTTTGATGTATAGATGTTTACATGAGATCCTCTGTGTCTGAAAACAAACGAAGAATGATGTACGCATGATGGGATTGATAAAAATTCCGAAATAGAGCGACTAATTGCGAATAATTCAGACCATATCTCCGCCTTCTTCTTCAGATTCCCCTTACGCTGCGAACCCTTTGGAAACTTTCGTTGTGCTACTGAATCCCCTTAAGCAATGCCGAAAAATTACTGACCAAACAGAAGAAGCTCCCAAAGAGGTACATTCTTTTTTTAATTACGAAAGCATGTCTTTTTGGTACGTTCAGTATTTCAAAAATTCAATTAAAAAGTATAACAAGTAAAAATTACCATGTTTGATAAATACGCCAGAGAGCGAAGCAAATTTTCCAAGCGGGTTATCGACGGTGGATGAAGCGCTGGAAAAAAGTGTCGGTGATGACGAATTTGATGTAACCACCTTTCTGAAAAGACACACAATATTTGCAAATGGGTTCGATATAACACATAACAAAATAAAAGTTACAATTAAGTTTTTAATTTATACATAAAATATCGATCATAGTAAAGCCTATACAGGTAAGGTGACCATAATTTTTTTATTTTAAATCCGGGACGGGGGTAGTTAAGTTAAATAACTTAAATATGATTTTTTTTACCTCCACACATAAGGAGTCGTGGTTGAAGTAAGCTCTTACAGCTAGAGTTCCAAACGGACTGGCTGTGGTATTCACTTGGTCTTGAAGTCTTTGACAATAGAACATCTCTATTAATGTTTCGGTATCCGTTCTGTGGTACTGGAGTCTCTGTTCNAATTTAATAGTGTTTTTAAGTTCTTCAATAATTAGAGTAAATAAATAGTTTTTGTCGTTCTTAGTCTTAGAAGTTATTTTTGTTAAACCAACGAACATTACATTATGAATCAAACACAAGGCCTCTTGAACACAAAGGATACATTAAGATTCACATTTTACACATAGGGTGTGTATGTATTGGTCAATTTACATACTTGAAAACGATTGTTGAGGTTAATGTTTAATGTAAATATGATACTTGTACAAAACACCCCCTTCTTAATAAATCGTCGTAGTCTCCCCCCCCCCGTAGTTAGGTAGGTATTCGATATTTAAGTCATCGGTCAAATATTTCTGTATTAATGCACAACTTACAGTATAGGTAATACGTTTCGAAACTTCTCCAATATAAAAGTTGCAGTAATCCTCTTTTCAAAGGGATTTTCTTCAAAAAGTATTAATAACAAGTCTGGCACGTTTCTAGGTACCCACAGGTATCGAGGAATTTCCTGGAACACGAACTAATTTTATCTTGGCAAGGAGATTTTACGAAATTTATGTTTTTACTATTTTTATTCATTATTTCTTGTCTTAGTAGGTAGAAAAGAATCATGAGCAGTGATCGAAACGTTATTGGATAATTTATTGATCTGTGTGTATCAATATCAAATCATTCTAGTCTGTCTAATCGCTTCTACAACAGCGTCAATATATCTAATATATTCTCCAAATGGCCAATGGAATCTATCTTGTCTCTCTCTCTCTCTCTATCTCTGCAAACTCTATAGGTCCCGGGTTCGATTCCCGGCGGGGGTGTGATAACAGCAACAATTTTCCCTCATTAATTTGAGGTAGTTTGTAGTGGGTAAATAAAAAATCGAAAAAATGATTTTAAATTAATATCGAATAGAGAAGTAAGTACTAGGAAAGGAGTTAGACAAGGCTGCAAACTGTCAGAGCTTTTTAATATAGATTAAGATAGGGATTAACCTGATAGACATACAAGGGCAAAAGATTAGTATCCTTAAAGAAGGAGATGACATGGCAGCGTTAGCAAATAGTAAGAAATTAGAGATAGTCTGAAATACAAATGGAAGTTGTATTGACAAAAGTGTATGGTAAGAAGATAAATAAAACGAAACAAGCATTTTACTGTGCAAGGGAAGTGAATGTATTTATGTCGATGTCTATGTCCTCTCGTATATGCGTCTGGTCATCGTATATCTAATGAACATAATATGATTATGGTTAGTAACAATTACCTAACAGGGATGTGAAGTACTCCGCAAGCCAAATTTCCTCTTCCCTTGTTAGAGAAGCACAAAGCCACGAGTGCTCCAAGTCTTGAAGAACTTGTAGCATCCATCGAGGGTCTAAGGGATGTTTCAAGTACACCCTCGTGGCCGCCACAAGTTTTGCCAAGTTCTTCTGAAGTTCAGTTAGGTCGCCTTTAACAAAGGAATGCCACGCGTAATGTATGGAAATCGATAACAATTTACTACTTCAAAATCAAATAGATACGGAAACGGATTTATACGGTGGTATATATGAGAAAGTGTCAGGATCTTTAAACAAAAAACAAAAATATTGAAGAGACATGAATTTTATTCACATTATAATAGTTTAATGGTACAAATTAATTCAAAAATTAATTAATGTATTAAAAGGAGGAGTTAGAGATAGCCTTAAATAAAATGAAAGTAGTATTGACAAAATAGCATTGTATGAAGATAAATAAAAACAAAACAAAATATTGGTATGCAAGGGAAGAAAGAGTAGTATCTAGGGAGCCAGATAAGTCAGCATGGAAGGAGCAGTAGAGATATAAAATGGAGCATAGCACAGAGTCCAGTTGCCTTCAATAAAAATAAGTCACATTGTTGCTCTGTACGAATGCGAAATATAGAAGGTGGACGCAAAAGAGAAGGTTAGAAGCGTTGAAAATGTGGTGTTAAAGGCTGAGATGAGGATACCGCGGATAGAGAAGGTTGGAATGAAGAGGTATTAGAAAGAATAGGAGAACAGGGGACTCCTCTATTTAATTTAATAAGAAATAGGCGAGATAGGTTGGTAGGATATCTTCCTAGACATGAAGGTCTGGTCAGAGGCATATTAGATGCAGAAACAGGAGTTAAGAGGACTAGAGGTAGATCTACGTATATTAGATTACTGTCCATAAATAGTTCAGGATTTGGGATATTCTACTTTAGGAAAATGCGAACATTGCCAAAGAATAGGAAACAGGGGAAGTGCGTGTTCAATCAGTCCTAGGACTGACGACTATGATGATGAAGAATATATTGAAATTAACTCTACAAAAATTCTTCTAAATGTCTTGTTGTTAATAATGACTATACATTAGTTTATCGATTCTGTGACCTACGTAGTTGGGTATGTTTCGTCGTTGTTGCTGCTGTCATCTCTTGTAGCTTAGTGGTAGAGCAATAGTGCGTAAAGTCAGAGACCCGGGTTCGACTCCCGGCGAGGGCGTGAAAGCACTGACAACTTTTCCTCATCAACTTGAGGTTATTTGTAGCAGTAGAAATGAATTTATTAATTAATGTAGGCATTAAAATTGAAGGATTGTTTTTCCATTTTTGAAAAATTGTGATTAATTGACGTTTCTGTAACACGCAATATTTACCCTTAATATGAACAAGTCTAAATCTCAACGAAAAAAGAATTATGTTCCAGTAACTCTTATGTATCGAATCCAGTCTGTTTTAAGCTTTCGATCATCTGGATCTTCGGTGATTTGGATTTTAGTGTTGTATTAATTTAATTAATTACAAATTCTATCATTAGGAATGATGTGTTAAGTATTAGAGTTACGTTTATGAACTAGTTCTGTAAAGGGCAAACATTTTGCCTACTAATTCCTATTCCAGCACTCCCTCCCGTGCCCCTGCTACATGATAATAATAATGTGTTAAAAATACTCTAATTTTATGGAACAACTCTTAAAAATTGATTTTCTTAATTTTCCTTTAGTTTTAAACACCTTCACTCCTTGGCAGAAGTTTTTCTCACTCCCACCTCTACTCCTTCCAAAACCCCCTCTTGTACCTACCAGTATAGCTTACTTTACAACCCTTCTATCTTACAACACTTACATATACGATATAAAATGTAATATCAAAAGCCATATGTACGCATCAACCTTTTCCTAAATGTTTCTAATAAAATAATCAGTAACTTTTGAATAATGTAAGAGACAAAACAGTTGTTACCTTTTCTTTAGAAATTCGAGTCTTAACTATTTATCATATTCATCACAAGGTTAGTTTATTTTTACCACACATGTAGGTAAGTGTTTTTTTTTGTGGATGGATAAAAATAGGTCATATTCGCCGATGAACCCTAAACCCTGTATTAACGGAGTCGACATATTTGCTAGAATCATTCTTCCATTCACTTATTTCCTTTGAACTTCCTTTTGCTTAATTAATTTATCTGAAAAATGTGACCTACTTTCATTTGAAATGTGGCGTTATTAATATCGAATTAGCATCGATTTAGCTCTTTTTTTATTAGAAGACAAAAGAAGGACGCAGCCGACGTTTGAAAGCCGGAAGTAATTTAATAATTCTCAGATATTTATTTGCATAATTTCACTTCACAATGAATCCAGAAGCTTTCAACTTTTTTTATTAAATATTCAGTTGGAAGATTAATTTCCTCCTCTTTTCAAAATACTGTTCCACGAATCAAAATGAATTCGAAGACAATCTTTCATTATGTTTATTTGTCATCAATAGGTTTTAAACTATTTATTTAATTTATTATGTTATATATGTATTCTTAGAAGAATGATACGTGTATATTTTGTGTAACAGGAGCAACAAACAGTTGTAGAACTTCAGCAGGCGAAGCAGCAGCCAGTAGGTCGGTTGGTCGTGCTTGCTGTTGTCACCTCTCGTAGTGTAGTGGTTAGAACACTGGTGCGTAAATCTATAGGTCCCGGGTTCGATTCCCGGCGGGGGTGTGATAACAGCAACAATTTTCCCTCATTAATTTGAGGTAGTTTGTAGTGGGTAAATAAAAAATCGAAAAAATGATTTTAAATTAATATCGAATAGAGAAGTAAGTACTAGGAAAGGAGTTAGACAAGGCTGCAAACTGTCAGAGCTTTTTAATATAGATTAAGATAGGGATTAACCTGATAGACATACAAGGGCAAAAGATTAGTATCCTTAAAGAAGGAGATGACATGGCAGCGTTAGCAAATAGTAAGAAATTAGAGATAGTCTGAAATACAAATGGAAGTTGTATTGACAAAAGTGTATGGTAAGAAGATAAATAAAACGAAACAAGCATTTTACTGTGCAAGGGAAGTGAATGTATAGAGAAAGAGCTAATATAAATATAGTCGACAGAAAGATAGAAGTAATCACTGGCGCTCGATATCTCTCTTGGAGAAGAGAGCGGCACAGATACAAAACAAAGGATATCGCAGGATCAAGTTGCTTTTAACAAAAAGAAGTTACTTCTATGCTAGTGAATTGTTAATTTATAAATTTTGTACGCAGTGGAAAAGAAATACAAGAGTTTGATGAAATGTGCAGTTACAGGCGAATAATGAAAGTGACATGAAAATAAGGAGGTATTTAAAGTAGTACGAAAGCAGAGGATACTATAGCAATTGATAAGGAAAAGAAGAGTTAGGATAAAAGGGCATATTCTCAGATATGAGATGCTAGTTAGACACATATTAGAAGCAGGCACAGGAGTAAAAAGGCGAAGCGTCGCATTGCATTAATATAAATAAAGTGTTTTTTGTATTTTGTCCTTCATTCTATTTAAGTTCTATAATTGTATTGTGTTCAATGCATGTGAGGGTTGATTTTCAATGCAGTTCCATATTAACAATAAGTTCTGTCAGTCTGAATGGCGATAATGACTCTAGAGAATTTCGAACGAACGTGTAATCTGTAAACAATAAGCGACTTTAATAGCTTCTTGTATGTACGTGGCACAGATTTTCGCTCATTATTACTAAATCAATAAATTGATAATTGCGTTCCTTTGCACTAGCTTTATCGCACTGGGAACAGGTACCAACGTCAAAGGCATTATTAAATTTATTATAATACCCGACGTTGTTTAAGGACGACGGGACTAATTTATAGATTTATTTTATATTATATTTTATGCAACAATAGCATTAAATTTGATTGGACTCATATAATAGTAGGTACATTACAATAACATTTGATCGTAATCGGTAGTAAAAGCTTTAAGTAATGTTAAAGAGCTTTTAGCTGGAAAGGCTTGATTAATTCCATACGGTTTTTCCTGGTTTCCGTGTAATCGAGTAGACCGTTATTGGGGATACACTTAGGTGAATGGTTTTGGGCTTTGGGGGAGGAAATACACACGTAAGTATGCCATTAGATATTATACAGGTAGTAATGATAAAAGGTAAATGGTATTAATTATTTAGATGTTCATATACATTAAACAGGCACCTCTTTATGGTCAAAAACAGACGAATATTGATGAAGTGAAGGAAATAGTATTGGCCAATCGTCGAATCACCGTTAGAGAAGTTGCTGAGGACCTAAACATATCTATTGGCTCCTGCCATTCGATTTTTACCAATGATTTGGGCTTGAGACGGGTCGCCGCGAAATTCATACCAAAATTATTCGGTTTCTACCAAACACAACATCGCATTAACATTGCTAAGGAGTTATTAGATTCGGTCCGCGACAACCCAAATTTGCTCCAAAGGGTTATAACTGGTGACGAATCATTGGTTTATGGTTATGACGTAGAAACCAAAGCTCAATCATCCCAATGAAAGCTACTGCACGAGCCAAAACCGAAAAAAGCGTGCCAAGTTAGGTCGAATGTGAATGTTTTGGTTAGTTTTCTTCGATTGGTGCATCATGACTTCTTGTCACAGGGTACAACGGTCAATAAGGAATATTACTTGCTAGTTATGCGCAATTTGCGCCAAGTAATCTATCAGGAACTCTCGGATTTGTGTAAGGACAAACATTGGCTTTTACACCATGATAACACCCCTGCTCACTCATCATTGCTTGTGAGCGAATTTTTGGCCAAAAACAACACACTAATAATACCGCAGCCATTGCGTTCCCCAGACCTGGACCCCTGTGACTTTTTCTTGTTCCCAAAACTGAAGAGGCCCATGACAGGACGAGGCAGGTACGATTGAGGATATAAAGACGGCATCGAAGGAGGAGCTGAACAAGATCACAAAAAATGATTTTTTGAAGTGCTTCAACGATTGGAATAAGTGTATAATATCTAGTGGGGATTACTTGGAAGGGGACAAAATAGTTATTCATGAATAAATAAATAATTTATTTATATTACCATAACTGCAATGATGTTGATGGCTCCAGTGGAATGTTAAATTGAACCTATTTCAGTCGAGAATTTTATCGTTCGCATCGCGTCGCGGTGCGGTGTTTACAAT